CAGGCAGGCAGGCAGGCAGGCAGGCAGGCAGGCAGGCAGGCAGGCAGGCAGACAGACAGACCTGGATTAGGATAAGATGGAGCTATAAGCTCAGTAGGGTGGCCCAGACCCAGGGGTGGGTAGGAAAAAGGAAGCAGCTGAGTCACACTGACTGGCAAGGTCCTGTCCCCACATGCACCATGCATACCCTCACCCTGAGGCCCCACTCACTGTCACTGTGGGGGGCCTTGTCAGACACCGAATCTGGCTCCTGGGTAGCTTTGAAGGTGGCCTGTCCTGAGCAGGGGAGGATAGGGCCCAAGGGGATTGATGGAAAAAACAGAGAGCAAGGGCAGAGACTGAGCCTGTGGAGGAACAGGACCCCCAAAGCTCCATGCATTTCTGGGTGACATTGGAAAAGAGAAGAGGGACCTGGTGAGGCCCTAGGCACAGCGCTGGGGAGTGACAGCAGGGTAGGGAGAATGAGAGAGCACCCAGGAGGGAGGAGAGAACAAGTGGAGAAAGAAACTGGGGGGGGGCTGTGCCCCCCCCCACCCGCAGCGGAAGTTGTTGTCAGTGGGGAAGGCAGGGCAATGGGAGGGAAGCTGGAGAGTCCAGACCTCAGGGCCCCCCCCATCCCCCCTCCCAGGTTCCCGAGGTTCCAAGCCCTCAGTACCAAAGCAGGGCTCAAGATGCCCAACCCTTCTGCAACGAAGAAGCCCACAGAAGTCCCCAGGAAGCAGCCCTCACAGCAGAGGCAAGAAGGGAGGGAACTGAGGGGGAGGGGGGGGTCAACAACAAGAACCTGGCTCTCCCCACACTCATCCAACTGGCCACGCTGCTGTGCTCCCCACCTTAGCAGTGCCGGAAGGGCCGACGGCTCGAGCTGGAGGCGGTGGTACCAGGCCGCAGCGCCACCTGCCTGAGGGCTTCCTAGCGGCCAACCCTCGGGGTCTCTTCATTATCCGCTTCTGGGAGACAAGGAGACTGTCAGACACAGGGAAGTGCCTAGACACCTGGGGACCCCCGCCCGGACCACCGTCCTAGGGGCTGAACTGCAGAGGGAAGAGGTGGGAAGGGAGAACACTAGGCCAGTCTGATAGCTCCATGGCCTTAGCCTCAATGGGGCCATGTTGTGGGGAAGAAGTGGTAGACCCCTGGGCCTCAGTTTCCTCATCTGTAAAATGAGAGAGCTGGACATTTGCAACAAGAAAGAAAATCGATTTTTGTCACTGAAAAAGAAATGAATTACAAAGAAAGAGGGGAGGCCACCCAAGGTGCCCACTGCAGCTGCACGAGGTGCCAACTGGGCCCCTGAGGGCCCTGATCCCTTGCGGTTGGCTCACCTTCAGGCAGCGCCGCTGCAGGCATTTCCATTGCCTTTTGAGGCCCGGCTTCCCTCTGCGCTCACAAATCCGGCAGGTCCCACAATCCTCCTTGGTTTGACAGCCAGAACAGAGGCCACAGCTGAAGCTCTGGGGAGCAGGAGGCACTAAGTAGCACTGCGAGGGCCCGGCCCGGCCCGGCCCGGCCCGGCCCGGCCCAGCCCGGCCCGGCGCCAGGAGCCCCACTCACCTTATTAACGATCCTGAGGCAGCGGCGCTGGACACACTGACTCCGTGGGAGCTGGGGGAGCTGCACGACACAGGCAGAGCAGGCACCGCAGTCCTCAGTCACCCGGCAGGCTGCACAGTCGCCACAGCCCACGCGCTGCCAAGGAAACAGGAGACCCCACACCCTCAGTCACATCCCATGATCTCCATCCTGGCCCGTCAGCCCCCAGAGGGCAGGAACTGGCCCCGAGTGGGGAGTCTGACCAATAACAAGTACCTTGAACATTCTCTGCTCCCGGTTGAAGGCATTTCTCTGGGCTGGGGGAGGAAAGGAAGAGCCTGTCTGAATAGCCAAGAGCAACCCCTCCTCCTAACTCCAACCCCAATTCCTAAAGAGAAGTCACAGCCAGAGGCTTGGCCCAGACCCACCTCGGCAGCTTTTACACAGAGACCGGAGCCGCTGACGCCCGGCGCTGTCCCCTGAGATGTTGGCTCCACAGTTTTCGCACCATCTGAGAAAGAAGGGGAGCCTAGCCAGTAAAACCCCCAGGGCAAGTCATGGAGAGAGGGTGAGTTTAGAGGGCAAGGAGAACCCCAGTGCCTGATTCACTCAGGAATCTCATCCCTTCCCCTCCCAAGGGCACGGGGGGGGACACCCCACGTCAGCAGCCTCACAGACCAGGAGAAGCCCCCAACAGGCCTCCCACTCACATATCTAGAGGGCTCTGGCGGGCAGGCAGGGCGAGTCTGGGCTCCTGAGGCTGCTTCTCTTTGGGGGATGGTACCGCCTTCTTGGGCCAAGCTTGTGTCTTCTTCTTTTGAGGAGATGCCTGGGAGAACAACAGCAGGTCCCCCAAAGGGCCCTAAGCTTCCCAGGCAGTCTCCCTGGCCTCTTCCCTCACCCCAGCAGGAAAAGCTACCTTGGCAGGCAAATACTGGAGAACGCCCCGTTTGAAATCAAAGCAGCTGAGGTCACAGTCAGGCCCCAGAAAGCGGGTCAGCTCAACCTTACTCCGGATCCGCTCTCCAGTAGGGCTGCAGTGGGGAGACAGGGGGGGGGGGGGGCGCGATTCCCTGAATGTTCCTGGCCCAGGCAGGAGGGCTTACCAACCGCCACCCCTACTCCAAGGCCCCTCCCTTGGGTCCAATCTAGCGGAGCCCACAGCTTTCCTCTGCTCCTAAAAAAGAAAGGGTCTTACTTAAAGGCCTGGAGGCCTGGCTTCAGATCTGGCCTCACACACTTACTGGCTCTGTGGCCCTGAGCAAGTCACTTCCCCTCTGCCTCACTTTCCTCAGGTGTAACATGAGGATCACAATGGCACCTGCCTCCCAGGGCAGTTGTGAGGAGTCAATGAGAGAATATGTGTAAAGTGCTTGGCACAGGGCCTAGCATGCAGAAGGCACTTTAGAAATGTTGATTCCCTCCTCCCTTCCCCTTCCCATGACTACCTCAACCCAACTGAGAGGTTGGGGGTGGTGGTGGGGTAGAGGCTGCCAGGCCTAACCCAGTCATTCCAACCCACCCAGGGCGCCACTTGGGCATGGCACCAAAGCCAAGAAGCTCCAAGCTGTCAACCCCTTTTCCCACCTTCCCTGCAGTGCCCCATGAAGACCTTGGCTCCTGCCTACCTCTGATAATAGGTGTCTGAACGACCACAGGTGACCCCAGATTTTCGGAAGGATTCACGGCGCTTCCAGCCGGGGCCCAACACGGGGCAATCCAGCCAGTCCTCCGCCATGGAGGACCAGGGTCAGGGGAAGGGAGAGAGTGGTGGGCGCCAGAGGTGGCCGCCTGCAGAAGGGGGAGGGGAGGGATAGGTCAGTGTGTGCAGGGAGCCCAGGAAGGGCAGGCCAGCAGGCCAAGGATCCAGCTAAGAGGGGTAAGGGTTGTACCCGAGGCCTGCACTTAGGTATAAATTATACTCCAGGAATAGGCCTGCCCCATCCCCAAACCCTAAGGGCCTCAGTCTAGCCCTGCAGTAAAGACCAAGACCTTCCTAGGAGAAGGACCCAATGAATGAAAGGCGAAAGCACCTTGCCTCGATGCATTTAGTCCGAATTATATGAAAATGGGGAAACTGAGGCCAAAGGAGGGGAAGGGAGTAGCTCAAGGTTAAAGCAGTCCAAAAGCTGGATAAAACCCAGGTCTGACTGTCAGGCCCCAACAGCAATTCCCTTTTGAGATAGAGAATGAGAGGGGGCAGCTAGGTGGTGCAGATAGAGCACCAGCCCTGAAGTCAGGAGGAGCTGAGTTCAAATCCAGCCTCAGACCAAACACTTGACGTTTATTACCTGCGTGACCCTGAGCAAGTCACTTAACCCCAATTGCCTTAAAAAAAAGAAAAAAAAAGCCCTCCATAGAGATAGAGGATGAGGTAACTGTCCCAAGGGCACTCAATCCAGAAAAGAAAAGAAAACCTGGGGAAGAAAAGGTACCCTAAGATGGGGGCTGCTCCTCCTTGGAACCAGAGGTAAAATGGCTGCCTTGGAACAGAAAGAAAAAAGTGCCAGGATGGAAGGCTGATGGAGAGAGGAAAGGAGGTACCCACAGCCAGGGGCCCAAGAGGTCCTGGGTCCAGCCCCATCCCACCTGGGGACCAGCAGCCACGGATGCCGCTGCCTGTACACCTTGAGCTTAGCGGGCCCTGGCAGTCAGGAGCTTGTCAGGCAGGTCAGCTCAGGCTGGCACACCTGAAGGACCCAGCAAGCTCGGGCCTTCTGATCCTGGGTCATCCTCTGGGCCACCTAGGGAAAGGTCTCCTCCCCTCCTTCCTTGTCCTCAGATACCTCCTCCATGCCCTCATCCACAGCCAAAACCCTGCTCTGGAACTGGGCAGATAGGGGCCTACTGACTCTGGAACTCCTCATCCCAACCAGGCTCCATCAAATGGCCTCCCTGATGGAAGGCCTGTGGCTTCTCAGAACATCTGAGACCAAGCAAAGGCTGGTCAGGTGTGACTAGCCAAGAGTCCAGACCCCCAGGCCAAGCAGCAGCCAGGCCTTCTTCTTCCTTCTCAACCCCAGTGCTCTGCCCTCCCTGGTTCCAAGCAGAGGAAGAAAACAGTGGAAAGAGATCTCAGAGCATTGCACACAGAATTCAAGGTGTGACCCTTGAACCAGGAACCGGTTCTTGGCTCAACAGGGCCCAAATCCTCCCTCCCTTGCAACTTACTCCTCTTGCCACCAAGCCAAACATCCTGGTACCAGGCCGGCCAGAGGAAGCAAAGGAACTGAGGGCTGGCACAGGGTACCCTTCCTTCCCCCTCCTCCTGGAACTCATACCACACGCCCAACGAAGCTCCTTTCCTCCTCACCGTCCTATACAAGTCAGGGAGAAGGCACTCCTTTCATCTGGGCATCGAGTCCTACATTTAGAGCTAGCAGTCAAAGCCAACCCACTCTTTTACAGAAAAGGAAACTGAGGCCCCAAACGGTGTTGACTCTAGTCTGCTGCCATTTCAAGGGAGCCCCAACTATTGCCCAGCTTCGATTTCTCAGTTCTTTTTCCTCAGACGCAGATGAAAGCTGCCCCTTGGTGAATGGTGCCCATGGCTGCTAGGGAGGCAGAAGGGGGCTAAGCTACTACTTGAAGATGGCTGTCCTAGCCAACACCTGGGGGAGAGGGAGAGGGAAGGAGGAGGGGAAGGGGAGGAGGGAGGAGGGAGGAGGGAGGAGGGAGGAGGGAGGGGGG